TTGTACTATATCTTCTTGAAACACACAATCTCAAACAGTTTGTTTTTCACAAATTCACCCCAACACATATATGACTATGTAAAATCAAGTTGGTAGTTAATTATTGATGCACAAATAGAATAATAAAGAATGTGTAAAAAATTGTAGTGCACACATGTTCATTTTTCTCGGTCGCGCGCCACACATCAAATCCAGTAATAGTTGCGTAAGTTGTGTAGAACTCAATTCCTGCTTCCAAACTAGTGAACCGCTGACCCACAAAAGGTTTTTTTGCCTCTTCACACTCTAGAGTCAAGTACTTCATTGACTTGGGAGAGATATTCATCAAACACCCTGTTGAACTCCCTATTGAAACGTCTTTACCTGTGGAGCGTTGAGAAATTATTAGTTCAATATGTAGTTAACCCGTATGGCACTAAGATTATAACCGATGTGCAGTCGCACTGTGTTACGCAAGCCTGTTTGGCACATTCATCAACGCGTAGGTGCACACATGCTCATCACGGCTACGGATATTAGGGTTTGTAAAAGGTCCCAGGTATGCTCCACTATTGTGATTCAGTATGTGCACTTACGTTCGGATGTCTGTGCACACGTGGTTTCCGTAGGTGCACTCTCATTTATTTGTGACAGATAATCTGGCGTGTCTGTGCACTTCAACGTCAGAGAGGGTGCCATAACCGCAAATTTGCCTGTGTTAATCAAGATGGCAGACCCAGTTGGCATGCACACAACTGGGGATATGTACATTAAAATTTGCACCAGATATGTACTTTAAAATTTGCGTGCACACAACTGGGGATGCCAAGTTCTGTCTGTGCACTTTAGTGCGAGAGGGTGTGCCGTTGCCCACCATTACATTGTGCGACACAGGTGAAGGCAAAGTCATCATGTTCCGTATGCAATTGCAAACAACAGCGTGGGTTTTAATATTCTTCTTGGTTGCATGACAGAACCCAGCATTCCAAATTCAATTGAATTCTAAAATCGAATGACAAACACGGTCGGACATTGGTTCAGTGGACTTACTTTCGTGGTTTTTTGTTGCCGCCATTCTCTCCGGGGAGTTTCTTGTTCGTTTCACGAAGTTTGCGGTTGCTGGATGCACGCGACTGTCATAATTCGCAGGCGTTGTTCGAGGAGAGCCTTGGAGCGGATTTGGCGATCTTAGAATTGGAGTCCAAGTGGAGTCCTTCTTGTTTTCCTAAATTCTAGGGATGAAATCTAATTTATTATTTAATTAGTAATTATTGGGGGCTAAAATTACCCTAATATCCTTTTTAATTTTTTTTATATTAATAATTAATTGACTTAGATCCAAAGGTTGGGATGGGTTCTTATGTTCTCACCTATTGAGTGGTTCCTACTTGAAGGCCACCCTATATATATATATATATATACACACACACACACACACACACACACACACACACATAAGCACATGTACTACACAAGCCAAATGGATATTAAAGGATTAGGATTTAAGGTAGAACAATGATCAATAATCGGGACCAAAAGATACACAACATACTGAAATTACTCAACAATGCACCAAAGGATGACCAACAATGCACCAAAGAAAATGCACTGGAAAGAATCAACACAGTGATCATCAGGATTGATCAATGGGTAGGAAGTACCTGCTGATCTGGAACTGGCGGGTACTATCCACCCGCTGACCAGTCCCATGACATAACTGGTGGGTCTGTTCAATGGGTTCCTAGCACTCGCTGAAACCCCCTGCTATGTCAAAACAGAACAACGAAATAGAAGCTCAGTTCTACAGATAGTGAACACAATTCTTCAACACAATAGTCAAAACAACCTCAGGAATCTCTTAATACAAGACCAAAATACAAACAAGATCATAAGGGTTCAAGAATGAGGGACATAGCTCAATAATAACGCAAGAACTCATCAAGAATCAGACATTTATCAAGGATAAACACTTGAAACATGCTCAGGGATTTCCAGACATCAAGCACACATATATACATTGGAAAATAGGTTTTGATGGACATGGAGTTTACCTTTTTAAGCTATCAAATCACCTCAAACCTCCAAGCAATCTCACCCTAGGAGTTCAACACCACCTTGATCTTCTACAACCCCAAAATCCCAAAATAGAATGAACATATAGAGAAAATATTGAGATGATGAAAGGAAATGAGTAAGGAAGGAGATTCTTACCAAGTCTTGTAAATGGAAATGGTTCAAAGACAAAACTTGCAGGGATTTCTTTTGAGGAAGGAGATAGAAGTTTTCTTAGTGATTAGGGTGGGGAAATGTCGTGAATGGTTGAGTGGAGTGGTGAGGAGGCCAAATGTAATGATTAGATACTTAATGAGTGAATAGGGCAAAATATTACAGGGTTGGGCTTCATACCATATGGGTCAATAATAATTATTTATATTGTATAGATTGGGCTATAGGGTTAGATAATGATTTTGGTACAAGAATATAATAGTCCATAGCTAATTGGCTCATTAGGGAATTTAAATATTTATAAGAATTCAAGGAATTGGGCTTCTAATTACAAGGGATATGAAATATTTATGTCACATAAAATTGGGCTAGGAATAAATTCCTTAAAGAAATATTTTGCAAGGTTAAATAATGGAATAAATTTTTACGGGGTGTCACACCGGAGCCCCAGGATACCTTATCTACCCCATTCACTAAACACTTCATGGCCGAGCCCTTGCCAAAGGACTTTCGCTTCGTGACCATCAAAGCCTACACGGGGTTGGCAGATCCGCGAGGTCACCTTACCAAATACAAAGCCGCCATGATGATGACTAGAGCCAATGTTTCCTTCATGTGTCGGGGTTTCTTTATGACCTTGGACGGTCAGGACCAGGATTGGTTTGGGTCCTTGTTGTAGGGGTCCATCTCCACCTTCGCCGCCCTAACTAAAAGGTTTTTATCTTACTTTGCCAGCAGCATGCAAAGGAAGAAGCAGTTCGCGGACCTATGCTACCAAAAGCAAAAGAGCATAGAAACCCTGGCGGAGTACTTGAACAAATGGAAGAGGGAGGCGATGGGGGTTGCCAACCTCGATGACAAGTCGGCCATCCCGGTCTTCACAAACAACCTTAGATCTAGTGTATTCCACCGCGACCTCATCCAGTACGAGCTGAAGACATACACGGAGCTGATGGACAGTGCAACCAGATTTGCCAATGCCAAAATGGCAGAGAGGAAGAAGAAAGATGAATAGGAGGTCGTAGTCGAAGAGACAAAGAACCCTAACCCTAGTAAGACCGCCGTGTGCCAAGAGCACCACGCTGTGAGCAAGGACCTCGGCTAGCTCTGCTACGATGCTTGACCCCATTGACATAGTCCGTGAGCACTATCCTAGACCATGCGGAAGATATGGGTATCGTAGAGTATCCTAGAGAATGTATGAAAATATCCACCAAGGCTGACCCCGACAAGTATTGCCGCTTCCACCATCAACCAGGGCATGATACGGAGGAGTGTATGGTCCTCAAGAGGAAAATCGAGGAGCTCATCCAACAAGGATACCTTGGTCAGTTAGTGAAAAGACCATGACAAGGTCAAGGCCCCAGCAACGTTTGGAAGAAGCAGGGTGGTTCCGAACCATCCACCTCTGGAGCACGCAAGAGGGAGCTCGACCAGCTCACCGAAGAAGAGGAAAAGAAGTTAGACAACCCACCAAAGGAGTAGGCGCTCAGCGTGATCTTTGGTGGTCTCGAAGGAGGAGACACATCGGTCGAAAGGAAGAAGTGGGTGCGGAGCCTCTATGTAAGAGAGGTTGTCTGACCCCCACATGATAAAAGACCAATGAGGGAGCCCGTCACGTTCAGCGACGATGACCTCCCAGATTGTCCCCTTCGGCATCGAGATGTTCTGGTAAAAAAGGTAGAGATCAATGACGTTATCATCCACCGAGTATTGATAGATACTGGAAGCTCCGTGAATGTCATGTACTATGACACTTTCATGCAGCTGGGATTGTCAAGGAAACAGCTTGGATAGGTGAAGACCCTATTATCTGGCTTCACCAGGGACTCCAAAGAGACGGAGGGTTCAATCAACCCGGAGGCAGAGGTCGGCACTTCACCCCACGTCAAGGGGTGAGAGGTAGAATTCGTAGTAATGAAGATCAGTTATGCCCATAATATCATCCTTGGCCGACCCGCCTTGGAAGACCTCAGGTGCATAATCTCTATGGAGCATCTATGCCTCAAATTCCCCACCCCAACAGGAGTTGGTGTTGCTCGAGGGGACCAAAAGATCAGCCGTAGCTATTACTTGAGGGCTTGCCGCCAAATCGGGAAGAGATACCTCTTGGTCCACATCATAGCTGAGAAGGCACATCAAGAGGAGGAGAAACGATCCCGAGTTGAGCCCATAGTCCAAACCGAAGAGGTGGTGCTAGATTTCAGCCGGCTCGATAGGGTGGTAAATGTGGGAACGGGGCTCCCGACTGATCTCCGAGGTCAGATCATTGAGGTCATCTGTAGCTACAAAGAAATATTCGCATGGAGCCCCGAAGACAAGTCAGGCCTCAATCGAGAGGTCATCACCCACAAATTGGTGGTAGACCCCACAACCAAATCGGTTCAACAATGAAAAAGGTACCTCTTCGCGGAGATGTGAGAATTCGTGAAGAAAGGAAGTTAACACCCTCCTCGAAATAGGGCACATAAGGGAGGTCCTATTCCCCGAGTGGCTCGCGAATGTGGCCCTCGCACCCAAACCACCCACTTGGAGGATGTGTGTGGACTACACCGACCTCAACAAGGCGTGCCTGATGGACCCTTTCCCATTACCCAATATTGATCAACTCGTAGATGAGACAGCGGGCTGTGCACTCATGAGTTTCTTAGACGCTTTCTGTAGGTACCACCAAATCTTCATGCGTGAAGATGACGAAGAAAAGACGGCATTTACAACCCCTGAAGGAGTCTTTTGCTACCGTGTTTTGGCCTTCGGGCTTAAAAACTCGGGTGCTACGTACAAAAGGATGGTCGCCAAGGTCTTTAAGCGGGTCCTTGGCCAGAATATGCAGGCCTACGTCGATGACATGATAGTGAAGAGCTTCGAGGCCGACTCCTACGTAGAGGACATGTTTGAGGTATTTTCCATAATGAAACAGTTTGATTTATGTTTAAATCCTAAGAAGTGTACATTTGGGGTGCATGGTGGTAAATTTCTAGGTTACATGGTCTCCAAAAAAGGCATTAAGCCCAAACCCGACAAGGTCAAGGCCATATTGGAGATGGAACCTTCGAGGTTTCTCCGAGAGGTCTCGCTCCTCAATGGTCGGCTAGCGGCCCTTGGTCGATTCCTTTCGAGGTCGGCTGAGAGGTCTTTGCCTTTATTTGGGGTCCTTAAGAATAGCAAGGGGTTTGAATAGTCGGATGAGTGCCAAAAGGCTTTCGAGGACCTCACAACCTACTTAATGTCCTTACCCCCACTAACCGAACCAGAGAAGGGGGAGGTCTTATATTTGTACTGGGACATCTCGCAGGTCGCAATCAGCTCAGTGCTGGTTCGGGATGACGTGAGGACTCAACTGTAACACCCCGTGTTACGACCCCTAACCCTAACTAATTATTTAATCACTTACCCTAAAAAGAGAATAAAAACCCATTAATCAACTAAGAAAGGGTCCACCATAATCCATGGACCCTCACCCCTAAAACCAACTCCTTACTCCTATAAGGAATAGAATTAGCAAGCCCATAGTATTTAGACCCTAATTGGGACTCTTAGGTATATAAATAGGGGGCATAGGTGTAACACCCCGAAATTTTGAAACTTTTAAAACTTATATAATAAAGGTAAATTCTCATTAAATCCCAAAACAGAGTATTACTAAACATAAGGGTGCGGGGTGCTATGCCACATCTGAGCTGGAGAATTCAGATGCACAGGCTAAACTAACTAATTATCCTCAATACATCATCGTGGCACGCAGGCCAAAAAGGAAAACTATCTATCTACTCCAAGCTCTTCTAGCGCGCTCTGGGAGCTAATCATCTGTGCCTGAAAGCCAAATATATCTGTTCAGTGAATGATGCCGGTAACCAACTCCAACGTGTTGAAATACATTATAGATAGATATATATAGATATACGAACATCATTTTGAAGCAGGAAGATATATACTTAAGAGACTCTAGCTTTAAAACCAGGAATAGACTCAGCAAATAGGGACAAGCACATCAAACAGTAATGAGCAGTTTAAGTAGAGATAACATCATAAGGAATACGCATCAAGGTCACAGTTCACTTTCCAATTCCGTCATATCAATATTCATTCATCATTCATAGCACATAACCCTTGATGGCGCCACGGGACCAATCACATGCCCCGAACATGAGGGTTAAAACTTATAGCATTAACACGGCCCCGCAGCACCCTACCTCAGTATCGCGGTATGAGGGGAGTTGATCGCAACCAACACTTTGAGAACCGCTGACGAACTCAACGTCGGATCACGATTCGACACACCGCTGACGCACCCAGTCGGTGGACCGCGATCCCCTTTACAAGGGGGGACTTACGACCCTACACACCGCCGATGGGTACGTCCGGTGGACCATAGCGGATCAAGCCCGACACACCGCGGAGCTATACTCAGTCGGTGGGCGAAGATCCTCGGAGACTATGGCCCTACACACCGCCGTCCCATCACCCGGTGGGTCGCAGCCAGCCGTAGCCCTACACACCGCCCGATTACTTGGATCCATAGACTACAGCCTTCCTCGGCTTATTGGCCCTACACACCGTCCTGGCGCGTTCAGGTTCGGTGGGTCATAGCACCGAGGCCCATGTGGACCGCAGCCCAAGAAGTGAATCACTGACCGCGGCCAGGAGAATGAACCGCAGTTCATAAGTAACCAATTTGACCGCAGCCAACTTCTGAACCGCAGCTCAGGAACATCCCATTTGATCGCAACCAAATTGGGGCATCATGCATCACATAACACATAGCAGCACGTAGTAGCACATAGGGAAGGGAAAGACATATAAATAAACTTACGTGTGATCATCCACATACTAAGAATAGTCCTAAGGGTTCAAATAACTTCCACTAGGTCAACGGGTTACC